GTCTGCTTTTTCCAAGATGAGTTTTAGAAAAAAAAATCAATATGTAGTGCAACTGACTTTTGGAATATCAAAATTGCCCATAGATTTAGTATGTTTGCTAGTTTAGACCAATTGATATCCAACACACTATTTTGTCCAAATAGTAATATGTTTGTTCATACGAGGACAAAAATATACGGAAAAAATGCAATTCATAGCACCACATGATAGAGAATCTGAAAACATATAAAAAGTTCCTATACATTTATATCTAAATTTCTTTTGTTTTCGAGATACAGAGTGTTAAAGAAATTTTGGAAAATATTGATTTTTTTTTATTATTTCCGATTAAGTGGAGGGAATGTACTGACAATTGGTACATTGGTACAGGTTGGCAACCAGTGGCGTAGTTAGAGGGTTTACTATGCTTAAATCAAACTTATAATAATATAATATACAATCGAATGCTTCGATTTGAAGCACAATTAAAAATGCAGAAGTAGCTAAAATGAACCACAGTATTTTTTATTCAAAATATAAGTCTTCAACTTTATTCTCTGTAAGAATGGTCGCTGTAGTACTTAAATAGCGGCCTGTGGGATTTTTTGAAAAATAAAAATTATCTCGGCTCCAGAAGGTCGTAGAACAACGACCTTTTTTAAAAAACTCGCGTAAAATGCCAGCAATCGATTCCTGTAATAGACATTATCGAGAAATGAAAATCATCGAAAAAGGTATTCAAGAAAAACGCGAGCAAAAAATTTTTACTTTTTTCAAAGTCATCTTTGGACACTTGAAATGAATAAAATCGTTATCACTCTTCTTTACCATGAAAGTACAACTCTTAAGGAAAAAAATGAACCCTAAGTCGCTTCTCTACGACTATTCGTCGAGCAAGAAGAGCCGATTTTCGAAATGACCTTATTTTCGAAAAATCGATATAACTCGAAAAATTTATAATTTTTAATTAAGAAAAATGTACTTTTTTGCTTGCCGAGGGCTACATTTACAGCAAGTAACAAGTTTCGAAACATTAATTTGTAAGAGATACAGCGGAAACAAGAAAAGTCGGTTTTTGACGGTTTTTTCGATATATCTCGAAAAGTAATATAGCTATCGATATATTTAAATATATGATTCGATAGGTTTTTTTAATAGCTACAACTTTCTCTTTTAACTTTTTTCGATTGGAGTTCAAATTTTCTTTTATTCGCGAAAAACCGAACTTTTATGAATTTTTTAGGTTAACTTCGCCGTTTATGCACCACAGGAAAAATACACTATCTTTCTTAGAGTTTATTCCCTATATCACCATATTTTTTGTTTCCAGGTGGTATATTTTTGTAAATTTAACATAAGGCCTTAACAGATTGGTTGGACTATAAGTTTTTCGAAAAAAGCCTGATTTTCGAGTAAAACTTAAAAAACCAACTGAAAACACTTAAATGACATGACAAGCACTAATCGGTTATTTATTCGAATGAATAAATTAATAACATTAGTCATCATTTTAATGATTTTATTTGAGTAAATGCTCAAGAATACCCCCACTTCTACGAATATAGGCCCGAAATTTATTGTTGCTTGAATCTGATGAAAAGTATTATTTATTCTTTCTTGTAACTGCTCAAAATGTCAAAGTTGCTATTGCAAGCCAATATGTAATTTTAAAAAGCATTGTATTCGAATGTCGACCAAAGAATACGAGGTTTCATTTTTGGTCATCATTTGTGAATCACCCTGTATTACTACGGCCCTGTAAAAATTATTATATTAACATTTTGCTATAGGTAAAATAATTCCTATGAAAAGTTCCTCTCAATTTTTGTGTCATATTTTGCAGTTTCTCTACGAAAAAATTTCCACTTGAAATAAAGTCCATGTCCATGTTCCTTAAATAAGAAATGAACGTAATAAAACAGTGGTAATCAATAACTTTATAAATTACTTATTATCAATTAGAGATAATTAGAAATAATGAAAATAATAACAGGTAAAAAAAAATAATTTATTATTTCTTTGAAGATGTTCAAAGTGGCGGCGTACTTATTTCTTAAATACACATTTCCAATCTTCTCAATTGACCACATCTTTGAAATATCCCAGGATTATTACGAAACGTATTAGCAGCGTCCATAATTCTGTTCCATAAAGGGTCTTTATTATTTATTTCTGCAGAATACATTTTGTATAAACCCCCCACAATGAAAAATCGAGGGGATTGAGATAGGGACTTCATGCTGGCCAAGCACGACCAAACCACCTATTTCCAAATGAACTTCCTTGCTCCGTCATGCATGTAGTATATTCTTCTAATAATATTTAATGGTACTTCTTCTAACAAAGTGTTTAGTTGATCTAGTAAGGAATTTCGATACAGTTCACCTGCTAAACGATTGGACATTCGAAATGGTCCAATTAAGAAATTGTACCTGCCCACACATTAATAGAAAAACTATACTGATGATTTTTTATTACGATTTGATAAGGGTTTTTATCACTCCAATAGTGCATGTTATGCATGTTTAGAATATCGTCGCGACTAAAACCCGCTTCATCAGAAAACCAAATTAATGAAAGGACATTTTCATCTTGATTGTGCAGCCACTCGCAATATTGTAGGTACACATGGTCTTCTTATAAGTGATGAGCTTTTTGAAAATGGAAGGGGTAAAGAAGCTGTTCCTTAAGGACGTGTCTGACTGATTCGCCATTTACATTTTGTACAGCTAAACTTATTTTTCTGGTACTTATTCCTGAATTATTTTCTACCGTTTGCAAAATAGCTTCTTCATTATTAACAGTGCGATGACTTCTTGAAACGTCACTATCAGCCTTTGGTTTTAAAGCATCCGTCTTCTCCCAAGCGCCGAAAAACATGGATAAATGTTCTCGTATCCGGCGTGTGGGATATTTTTCTTGGTAGATTAGTCGAGATTTTAGTCCAATCAATCTGTCACGGCCTAATGTTAAATTTACAAAAAATACCACCTGGAAACAAAAAATATGGAAAAAAAATTCTAAGAGTGTTTTTTTTCCTGTGGCGCATAAACGGCAAAGTTAACCTAAAAATTTTTTTTTGACTTTTTGTCTTTGCTATATCTCTTGCAAATTAAGGTTTTGAAACTTGTTTTTGCTGTAAATGTAGTCCTCGGCAAGCAAAAAAGTACCTTTTTTAAATTAAAAAATATGTTATACCCCAGATTTAATACAAAAGGATTTTTGTACGTGGTCCAGAAGTCGAGATAATGAAAATTTGTAAAGTAAGAACGCCTTTGAACGCACGAATTCAGTTTTCGGAGCGGCCGAGTAGCTCGAATGTTTCGGTTTGACGCACAATAAAAAAGCAGAATTGGCTAAACTGAACCACAGTATTTTTTTTGTTGAAAATATAAGTCTTCAACTTCAACCCCTGTGGAATTTTGTGAAAAAAATAATTATCTTGGCTCCAGAAGGTCATAGAGCAACATTTTTTTTAATTCGCATAAAAATGTCAGCAATCGATTCCTGTAATAGACATTATTGAGAAATGAAAATCGAAAAAGATGTTCTAGAAAAACCCGACCAAAAAATGTGTACATTTCATTTTTGGACACTTGAAATGAATAAAATCGTTACCACTCTTTTTTACCATGAAAGTACAACTCTCAAGGAAAAAAATGAGCCCTCATTCGTTTTCTCTGCGACTATTCGTCGAGCAAGAAGAGCCGATTTTCGAAATGACCTTTTTTTTCGAAAAATCGATAGAACTCGAAATTTTTTTAATATTTTATAGTTTAGATAAATTATTGCAACGTCAGTTTGACAGTTGCCATAGATTTACATTGCTTCATACATTATTTGCAAAATGTTTTATTTAAAAAATATGTTCGTACTCTAAGCCACTGAAGCGAAGTCGACAAAAACCCCTTTTTGTAGAAAGAAAGGACAAAATATGACACAAAAACTGAGAGGAACTTTCGCAAAATGTTAAAATAGCAATTTTTACAGGATGGTATTAATTTATTAATTCGATTTAAGCATAGTGAACCCTCTAACTCCCCAACTGGTTAGCAACCTGTAGAGGATATGATTTGCCAATTGTCAGTTCATTCCCTTCACTTAATCGGAAATAATAAAAACAAAATCAATATTTTCCAAAGTTTCTTTAACACTCTTTATCTTGAAACCAAAAGAAATTTATGCAAAGTGTATAGGAACTTTTTATGTTTTGTTTTTATGTTTTGAGGTCCTTTATCATGTGGCGCTATGCATTGCACTTTTTCCATGTCGCCCTGTATAGAACCTACCAATTTTTTTAAAATATCAAGATACAAATCTTTTGGTACATATATTCGAGACTTAGATGAAGCTTCACACCAAATTTTGGTATCTGATAAAGGAATACCTTCTTGTTGAAATATGTATGTAGTGTTTAATATTTTGTGTTGATTATCTAACAAATATTTTAATTCTTTATCATATTGTTTGTATTTTCGTAATGGTACCAATTTATATTAGATTTTTTTTAAAGAAGAAATGATTTCGTTCATAAAAGTAAGAGTATCAGCATAACTATTTTTGTGTGATATTACGTTTTTGAAATGGTACAGTGAAACATTTATTTCATATTTCATTTTTGTGGCTTCGTACAGTGCAGTTGATAACTGTCGGTTACCAATAATTAATAACTATGTGAACTATGTGACTAGGAAATCTGAAATATGAATGATGTTTTCTGAAAGACAATTTATTCTTTCTGAATGATGATCTCGTTCAGAAACAGTAACAGTAAAATTATCAGCAGGGGTAAAATAGTGTTGATTATTTATGACTGAATCAATATCATTAACGTAAAAAATGAAAAGCACAGGGCCCAGAATAGACCCTTGTGGGACTACTATGTTGACAGTAGATGTTTGGGAATTATGATCATCAATAATATTTTCACATTTATTCTGTATACGAACGTATTGACATGAAAATGAAATTATATTACTCGATTCTGAAATATACTCAGAAAATGTGATATCTGTACTTACTAGTGTTAGAGGGTGTTTGTGCAACTGCTCGCTTGGAACCGGCTGGTCCATTAACACAGCTCTGAGATGAGCGATGTAACTAGTGGCTAATCTTAAAGTATCTAATTTGGACAGTTTGGTATCAGCGGGCACCCAGGGAAGGGTGGTTTTCAGTCGGCAAAACGCCTTGCTTAGCACCCTCATGCGAGCCCGCTCCCTCGCGTTAGCGGCGTTTCGCTGCGGGTGTCTCGCGTCATCGAAGTCTTCGTCAGAATCCGTTTCCGTCGAACGCCTTTTCCTTGGCATGTTGCATCTGAAAACAAAAATAGCAACCGTAAAATAAAGCCTTTAAAATAATGTCTCTATTTTTTCTTTGAACATATTTGAGCTCAGAAAATTTGCATTAGCCCTTACATAAATAATAACAATAATAATTTAATTTAATAAAAACAATAAATTGGAATATGCCACAACAAAAAAGATTTTCAGCACCTGTACGAAGTGGTATTGTGCCTGTTCCCCAATTCAACACTTAATCTGTTTAATCTGTCTGTCTGTAATCTTAATCTGTCCAAAACAGACATTATTAACATTTTAACCAGAATACAATTAACAAAAAATACGAAACTACACCCCAATTCACGTAAAAGAAAGGATAATTATTTAAGAAAGAAAGAGGAAGAGGAATGCTAGCCCTACAAGAATTGTGTTCAAAATAAAAAAAGATAAAATCTTTAAGATCTCATTTCCATAACAATGAACACAGATAGGCAGAAATTGCACACGTATCAACACAAAAACACTTTTTCGTGGTCATTTCAATAGAACTTATGAAAATAAATTGGTCTTCATGTTGATACTATAATAATGGCAATCAGGAAATAAAGATCAAACATATAAGTTCCTACAGAAAGAACAGTTTTACTCTTGAATTACAAGAATAAAACAGTTTTATTCTTGCAATTCAAGAACAAGTTATAGCAATAAATATATAGCTAAATAAATATCCTAAAGGATAAATAAAAATGCAGAAAATAGAATTCCCGAAACAATGGATCATATAAAATTGGGTTGCAAACTATTAGCAAGTGTTGAGGATACAAGTAGATACAAAATTATATATTATCAAGCGATAACACTGCAATAGCAATTATACATACGCATCACAAACAAAATTAGAGAACAAATATTATAAGTTATATACCTGGTTATATACAGGGTGTCTCATAATTAGCTGCCAACCCTGAACAGGCCGATTCTATGATCAAAACTAAGTAAAAAAGTTCATATGAACATGGGTCCGGAAATGCTTCCTAAGGGCACAGGGACCCATTGAAGAGGGAGGAATGGAAATCATTTTTTTGCAATATCTCTCAATCGCGTTGTGATAAATGAATGAAATTTGGTATACACAGCTAAATTTTGATGAGCAATTTGATGGACTAATCCATTTATTTCCACAAGGTCCATTGGGGTGGGTACGGGGGGGCCCTTGGTACTTTGCGTGTGTAACTTTTTCATCTTTGACTTTTTAACAAATTGGACAGCAAATTCCGTTTTCCCGAACTGTTTTACGTTAAAAAGGTACTCTTGTTTCAAATCGTTATCTTTAACGGTTTCTGAGAAAATCGCTCTTGAATTAATCCCACTTTGGTCAATTTCATAGTAATTTAAACAAAAAAAAATATTTTGTTTAAATTTAATCTAATTTTAATAAAAAAATTATAATAAAAAATTAAATTAAATAAAAATTAATCCTTTAAATGGAAAAGAGAGGAAAGGAAAATTATTATTATTATTTTTTGTTTAAATTACTATGAAATTGACCAAAGTGGGATTAATTCAAGAGCGATTTTCTCAGAAACCGTTAAAGATAACGATTTGAAACAAGAGTACCTTTTTAACGTAAAACAGTTCGGGAAAACGGAATTTGCTGTCCAATTTGTTAAAAAGTCAAAGATGAAAAAGTTACACACGCAAAGTACCAAGGGCCCCCCCGTACCCACCCCAATGGACCTTGTGGAAATAAATGGATTAGTCCATCAAATTGCTCATCAAAATTTAGCTGTGTATACCAAATTTCATTCATTTATCACAACGCGATTGAGAGATATTGCAAAAAAATGATTTCCATTCCTCCCTCTTCAATGGGTCCCTGTGCCCTTAGGAAGCATTTCCGGACCCATGTTCATATGAACTTTTTTACTTAGTTTTGATCATAGAATCGGCCTGTTCAGGGTTGGCAGCTAATTAAGAGACACCCTGTATACTGACAAAAAGATCACGTACACCGGATATAACATTTCAGTATAAAATGCAAAATATCACTTAAATATTTCCATCTGACCAAAATATAACATAAGTACTCAGAAAAGAGGGAAAAATATCAGGTACTGCCAACGAAAATAGAAAAAAAATTGAGACAAATACAAGGCACGTCATTCTGTTTATTATTTTAATCAATAATAAAAAATAAAGTTCGCATTAACAATACAGTTAAAATAGAATTAAACAGAGATGCCAAAGTTGAACATCTCTTCCACCTAATGAAAGCTCTATGCATAGAAGCTCTCTATGAAAATGTTCTACATCCAGTTACATAAGAATTATTGACGCAAAGTTGTTGGGTTTGTTCCAACACTAACAAGGAACCCATTAAGATCCATCAGAAAAATTCAGCCAGTTGTGAATGTATGTATGTTTGGTGAATGGTTTGTAAGACGGAGTTGGACAAACATTTGTGATGGTTCCAAACCAGTTCTCGACGGTTGTTGAAACAAACCTATTACTGACAATCATTTATTTGCACTTTTGCACTGTGCATGTATAATCTAGAACCCAAAAAACAGGGTGTTAAAGTTTCTTTATTTCTTGTTTTTTCCTTAATTCAAAACCCAGTTAACCGATTTGAGCAAAGTTTGCTGTTGCTTAGTTTCTCTGCATGAAGTATGCAGTGATTGTGTTCCTATTTGGTTAAATCATACAGGGCGTTTATTTTACTACAACCCTTTGTGAATATTATTCTGTAACTTTTTTGTACGTTTAAATTTTGACACGCAACTATCAAAAATAGGTTGAGAATTTTATTCTACACAAAAAATGTACACTTATCAATAGTCGAAATTATGCGATTTAACCTAATAGGAACATAATCACTGCATACTTCATGAAGAAAAACTAAGCAATTTTGCTCAAATCGGTTAACTGGGTTCTGAGTTAAGGAGAAAACAAGAAATAAAAACAGAAACTTTAACACCCTGTAACTTTTGTTTGCGACATTTTTCGTTTATGCAAGTTTGGTTAATTCGACACCATTTGGATTTTAGATTATACCCCTGAAGTATACCTATGTAATATTCGTTAGCTAATACTTTGGATATTCGAAATACCAGCACAGCCGGTTGTGTTGATATTTACTAATTTTTAACATATGACCTATTACTACCTAACTCTGAGGACGAAATAGTCTCTCCTCTATTAATCTGCGAAGCATCTATTTTAACAGCACGCTTTCAATTTTTTTTGTTTTTCTCTGAAAACAAAGCTTCATAAAGATTACTTCGATTCTCCATTATTATTACCACCACCTTTTATAGTAAATCCCGTTTCAACAGTCAAATATAAATTTTTGACAAATTGAAACAGAGTAATTGAAGGTACACATTCTATCAGAAAGTTAAAAAGTAATAGACCTTTCTCTTATTTAAATTAAATCTGTAATAAAAAGGCAAAAATATTATAATAAAGTTAAGTTCTAGAATTATTGCTCGGAAGATGAGTTATTGCCTCAAGCAGTCGACAGTTTTCCGCTGGCTACAAGTGGGTTTTAAAAAATTGGTAATAGTGTTGTTACTTTATTGATTTTTCTAGTGTTAGCAGATTTATGATTGGTTAGTTATACAGCAATCTATTTTTTTCCAGTTAAGTTCCGAATTAACCTCTATAGTTTTAGTACCCTATAGAAAGTAATCTAATAATGATTATTACCAATGTTAAAATATAAAAGAAAATACTCATCTAAGTCAGACCTTTTTCAACACTTGAAACCTATAAACCCACCCAAATCCAATATCCTCATTAGGTTTTGCTTAAATTTTACCTGAAGGCAGCTACTGCGATTGATTAAAATTTATGTTTTACTTTTCTTCTTTGAAAAATTGTAGAGCCTTAGAAGTTGTAAAGTATTTTAGTAATACAAGTCGAATTTTACAGGAGAGAAAAAATATATTGCTAATGTTATATTAATTATGCACTGCCTTGTTCGATTTTAAGAGCCTTATCGTCACTGTCCAGGATAAACTCATATGGACAAATATTTACAGTTTTAATATGTTTCTACATAGACATGATGGGGGCATTATCTAAATTATTTTTTGCCGTTTATAATGTCGAAAATGCTAATTTTGTTGGATTTTAGACTTAATGATAAAATTCGTTGGATTTTAATGATTAAGGGTCAAATCGTTACCTACACCAGAGAAAAGTTAGACAGATTCTATAGAGGAAATTAAAAGTTTGAAATACAACAACATAATTATACCGAAACGAGAAGTATTGAAATAATGAAGGGTTTAGTTCACATAATCATTTTAATGTTTATTATTACTCTCGAAAACATCCTTATAATTTATTAGTGTAGTATATGCGATATCGAACATAGTTAATTAAACATGCTAAACTACAAATTGCTGCGTATTACCAAAAGCAGAAATATTAATTCTGTGTCCAAAGAATAAGGTAAATTATTTATTTAAAATTCGCCCAGTATATTCAATTGCTGCAGAGCTACTCGTGTTTTTGTAAACACACGAGAGTTTATCGATTTTCCTTATGCCTGATTTTGTTGAGCAATGAATTTGTATTAAACTTTCTTTGCGGAATGAATATACTGCCGCGGAAACGTTGAGGTTGTTACAGAAGGCCTTTAGTGATGAGGTTATGGTGCAAAAAAAAAACAACACGTTAATCAAATCAAAGATCTTGTGCTTGGAAACCGTCGATTAATAATAAAAGACCTTGTTGAGACTGTTGACATTTCAAATGGTTCAGTAAATACCATTTTAAAAGATTTGTTGTGCCTTGACGCGTCAAATATCGTTTGGTTCCAAAAAAGTCCAACTTTTTGGAAAAACAGTGTTGCATTAACATCTGTGAAACAATGGTTTCTGACTACCAAGACGTCATGAGTCAATCGAGTGAATATCGCGCAAAAGGTGAACCAAGACCGAAAAAATCACGCCAGTCACTCAAAAATCAAGGTCATGTGACAGTTTTCTTTTTATTGTCGTGGCATATTACACCATGAATCTTCCA